GCCATAGAGGGACTCTGCTGCTTCTTTGAACATTGTTCTCTTTAAAGTACTCAGTATGTGAAAGGTTTGCCAGCCAGGATATCCCCTTCTGAGCCCCAATACCTTTCCCCTAACCTTGTTGCTTATTGACACCTCTGAAATTCTCTTTGCAGTTTATCCTGAAGCAAAAAGTGTTGACTGACACGCAGAGCTCAAGTTTCTCCTGCATAGAAACTGTGACGGTAGATGTCAGGTGAAGTGCAATGAGCTACTGTGTCTCGGGATGATTCGCTGTGGTGACACAACGCCAGAAACAGGCAGCCAGACTACCAGCAGCAACGGGGCACCGTAGCAAAAGCTGCTCCGAATAGGCATTATAGAGAACTCGCAAGCAGATATTTTGAAAGGATTTCTAATTTTGGAGCCACATGAGGGTGATTCAGATTCTTTTTATTCTTTTAAACATTTTTACTTGAAAAAAATAATTGTTATTTCATGTGTGTGTGTGCCATAGTGTACAAGTGGAGGTATGAGGACAACTTGTGGGGACCAGTACTCTCTTTGGACCTTGTGGCATCCAGGGACTGACCTCAAGTTGTCAGGCTTGGCAGCAAGTGTCATTACTGGCTAAACCACTTCTGCCCCTCCTCCATGCCCCGCCACATTTTTTAATTGTTCTTTTGAAACAGGGTCTCATGCCTGGAATAGTTTCTGCATCCAGAAATGACTTTGGCCTCCTCATCTTCCCGCTTTTACCTCCTGTGTACTACTAGCCTGTTATGTGATCTTGGCAACCTAATTCAAGACTGTCAGTGTGGGAGGAAAACAGTCTACAAGCTAAGCTGCAAACCTAAGCCCTTACAAAAAAGCTGAAAAAGTGTACAGTTTTCATTTTGGGACATATGGGCTGACTCAGAAATGTCACTGGAAAAAGGATACTTGTAGGTATCAGAGTCCAGAGTCTGTTATCCCCAAATCCAGCATGTTGACATGTCAGTGTGCCATCCATGCATGTTGGATAACCTCCTGCCACTGACTTCCACCCATCCTTGCTGCCATGCGTTTACTGTGAGCTGAAGAAAACAGAGAACTGCATAGAAGAAAAACTGTCCTCTCACCTTTCTTTCCTGAAACATGGCATGTAGGAATTCTCTGACCTGCCTCCCCTAACTGCCAGTCCAAAGACCCCCGTGCCCCATGCATTCTGCTTTATGCCTGGTGGCAATAACATTTGAAGGTACTGGCTTTGCTTACTAAGCTGGCTAGCTTGTCATAGTTAGGCTGTAACTTCTGTTCCCAAGTCGCATTTCCACACAACCCTACTCTTTCAGAAGACTGTCTGTGAAAACACAGCGGTTTCTTGTTTTTCAGTCTTCACAGTGAATGTTGGGTAAATAATCTTGCCATGCTTTCTCTGGTTTATCTTTTCTCAGAGTATGGTCAGTAATGAACATTAGGCCACATGAGAAAAATATATAACCATGTCCTTTACATGTTCTGGGTCCAACAGAACATATCTGTGGCACTATACCTGCTTAGGAGACTGCAGAAACATTGGGCATGATTAATAAACACCATCTAAAGGGTAATATTTTTTTAAATCAATGTCCACAAGGTCTCACTGCTTTGCCTGTGGAGCTGAAAACACAGTTTCTCCTGTCTCTTGCTTCTCAAATTCAGAGGAGCAGTAGAAAAGTGTTGGAATGTTTTTCTCTTGTTAGTCTGTTTCTTGTTAAAGGACATCAGGTGTGACATGCTGAGTGAAAAAATAATTGCCCAAGTATATACACATCAAGTTTAGCACAGATTTTCATGTTATAAACCCATTTTGACACTTAACAAAGATTTAAACAAGTGAAGGAGGGGAACACATCCACAGGGACACGACATGAAGAAAATGGAACCAGAGAGTGTGAACACCCTCATGTGAATGCATGTGAACATGCCTTTATCTGTCTGTCTGTCCTTCTCCTCCTTTTTCCTTCTGTCCCTCTCCCCTGTCTTCTCTTTCTCCTCCTCTCACTCTGCTTTTCCTCCCATTCTTTCAGGCCTCAGAATAGTATATAGATAGGGATTTGTAGAGTCTCTGTGGATTAATCCACCATATTCTGAAAACTGGATTCCCAGAAACAAGAGTTAGACTTTACCTGATGGCTGGCCCATAGTGGGTCCTCCAGCAATGTTAGTTTCTAGTACTGATGGAAATTGTTCCCTTTAAGACACCAAGCATAAGCTAGCAAGATAGGGCAGAGGGGGATAGTGCTTGCTCTGGAAGCTGGTGGCCTAAGTGTGATTCTGGGAATCCATGGTGAAAGGTGAGAACAGACTCCCAACGTTTGTCTTCTGACCTTTACACATGCATGAATTAACACACACACACACATACACACACACACACACACACACACTAAATAAAACAAATAAGCAAGCAAACAAGAATTTGTGGCTGGGTTAGTTAGGGCTGAGCTTGCCTTGGGTGTGAATCTCTGCTTTTCATCTCCACAACAACAACAAATAAACAAACAAGAATTCCAATGTCCAACCAGCTAATTCCAGTGTCTAAGCACCATCCGTACTGCTGTGACACCAAACTTTTGGTGACAGGTGGAGATAGAGTAGTTGGGCTGACTTTCACAGTGAGGAATAAAGAATAAAATAGTTAAGAACCTCAGAAAACCAGAAGAGTTTGACTTTGAACCATTGTCCACTCAAAGGAAAATTCCTCTTACTTTAGTATCTCTAATCAAGATTAAAAGTGGAGGCAAGGCTCAATGCTTTTGATATTTGGAATAAAGATGTGCATTTACATTTACAACTCTCTGGGCACAATGATAGATGCAGTTATTTGTGGTCGAAGTGGATTGTGGACAGAGCAGCCTGTGAGAATGTTTCTCAAGTGTGCCTGCAGGACAAAACCTCCAGGCACTAAGACGTCTCAACTGGCTTTTCAGCCACACTGCAGTTTATTGTACTCTTCACATCAGCTCCAAAAAGACACTACATGCCATTGGGTCTATTGGAAAAATCATTATGGTGCAATTAAAAGCAATGCTGTTTCACAGACGAACGTGGGCTTCCAGCCCTGTGTCTCACGGCTGGCTACCTCCTTGAGCCTCTTGTGTCTGTGTGCTCTTCTGACGGTCAAGAGACCCAGCTGTCGAGAGACACTCAACCAGATGGCCGTTGCAGCGGATGTACCACCCTTCTCGGGAGCCTCTCTGACACCGGAGCTGGGGACCTCCATCAGTGCTGGTTTGCAAATGACTCCCTTGAAGTAACAGTGGTCTGGAATGTTCAGTGACAAAATTAATCTCCGTCCAGAAACTTAGGAAATTGAATTGCCCTTATGAAATGAAGTGCATAATATAACGCTTAAATGTATTATCCCTTTGAAAACTTTTAAAGTCTTACAGATAAGTCACAGACCAAGACACATCAATCAATGGAGCCCTTCTCTCTTTAGGATGAGAGCAAAGCTACACTGGACCTCTTTCTCATTGTGTGAAGCTCTATTAAGATTGGTTTTGTATTTCTTTTTTAAAAAAGAGCGATTTAACCTTGGCCTTGGTAATGATATGACTTGTTGAATGACATGGTCTGTAATGAAATTACCCTAAGTGGTTTGAGAATTAATTAAGTGGTTTCACTTTACATTGTAGCTGGCATTTTAACAGAAAACACTTAAACCTCCCTCTTCATTACTGTTCTTGTACATATACGTGTGCGTCATTACTTGAAGGGGAAAGCAGTGCATAAAAGTTGTGAACAGTATACGGAACAGTGTGGGATTGGACTTCATTGCTCAGTATTCAGAATGTCAGTTACAGACTATTTCTGACTCATGTTCCTTCCTGTCAGTCACACAAAAGATTCAGGTGCCAGAGCCTCAGTTCTGTCTAGAGAACATTCCGGTCTGTCTGGGTATGTAATTCAATGACAGGACAATCTTGGATAATAGGCATAGGCCTTCCCCTGCGTCCTGCAAAAATGTCCTGGGTGCACCTGCCTGGTACCTCCGCCTCTTTCTAAATCTCTAAAGGGTGTTGGCTTTCTTTATGTTGGCCCTAACATAAATGTCAAGTCTTCAGAGCAGGTTATACGAAGATTACTGTATCCTTTAGGGTTAAGTTTAGTTTTACTAAAATTAGTGTCTTCCCTCTCTGATATTATCAACACTGTGTCCTCATATATCTATTTATTGCAAAACTCTGACATTTGTGTTTGTCTAGTTATGTCAGAGAAGCGGGAACCGCATGCTGTACATGCTTTCTGTTGTGTAATCACACTTTGCAATCTTACTTATTCCTCTTAAAGATTTCTCAGTCGAGCAAACACGTGAAGGACAAGCTTCAAAAATCTGTCTGTCTGACTGTCTGTCTGTCTTCTCTCTTTCTGGTAAACAAGGGACCAGAGGCAGAAACACAGCCTGGCATAAATGAAATAGTATTCACTTGAAATGCACTGTATGGGTTTGAGACTAAAGGATTTCAAGCATTGTACGAGGTCCTCAAATAGATCAGTAGATCTCATTTTGACCAGTGCGTGGGAAGTGTTAACATCTACCAGGGCAGTACACTGAAAGTGGTGTGGAAACTGAGCATACACCCAAGCCAACCAGCTCATCTTCCAGAAGTCTACATTTTCTCAGAAGAAAAGAAGGATTTCGTCCCTATAAAATTTACTTTTACTTTTGTTGTTGTTGTGATTTCCATACAGGGTTTCTCTGTGTAGTCCTGGCAGCCCTGGAACTTGCTCTGTTGAACAGGCTGGCCTCAAACTCAGAGATATACCTGCCTCTGTCTCCCATGTGCTTGGATTAAAGGCGTGTGCTACCACTTGCTTCTGTTACTTTTTATATGTATGTTTGTAGAATTCTGTCATGTTATTAATGGATGGGTGGGCTAATTAAATATTAAAAATATGCATTTATATAATGAAAGACATCTTTATATCTTAAAATACTGAAATTTCTATAAAAATCTGATAGACAGTAAATACATGTCTTCCTTTTTGTTTGTGTTTTAAAGATGGAACACTATGAATTTGCATGTCTTCCTTGTACAAGGGCCATGATAATCTTCCCTGTATTGTTCCAGTTTTAGTACATATGCTGCCAAACTGAGCACATACATGTTCTTTTGAAAGAGTCAGAAATATATGTAATAAGTAGACTATTATTTGAAAATTTCATTTGTAACAATATAATTTTATGATTTTTCTTTCATGGAAATTAAATAAAAAATATTCTCGTCTATGGAATGAAATAAGTGTGTAACAAAAGTACTAAGAGGTACTTTAGATCCTTTCCCGACAGCCTACAAATGGCAATACTTTCCAGGCTGAGGCTGCACAGGAGCAACATAGCAGGCCTTGTTTTCAAGATCTATGCAGCTCGGAAGCTGAAGAGGGGACAAGTTAGAAACCAAAAAAAGTGAATTGCAATTTATAATGATTACCTCTCTGTGTGTGTACATGTGTTTGTACGTGTGTTTGTATGTGTGTTTGTGTGTTTATGTATTTGTATGGATGTGTCTGTGTGTGTGTGTGTGTGCAAATCTAAGGCCTCACACATGAGAGTCTACCCCTCTACCAATGAAGCTATGTCTCAGGCTCTGTGTACTTTTCTTGCAGCACTGTGGATTCGGTGGAAGTGGAAACTGCACAGTTGGTATGCTCTGTGGTCACCTCTGTGCCATGCTATGATGCAGCAGGTTCAGGACAACACTGACACTTATGGGGACACAGGACCTTCAGTGGGTCTACACAGCACAGAAGCACAGACAGACAGGATGAAATAGGCCTGAGCTCTTCAGAGAGAGCCACTGTATGGCTGCACAGTGCCCCACCATCCCCCTGCCTACTTCAAGAAGGTGAGAGAGATTTACCACGTGGAAGGGTCCTGAAAACTGACATTAGACTCTGTGATTGTATAGTCTCAGTTCTGAACATGCATGAACTTCATCTGCAGTTATGATGTTCACATCTGCCCAAGAGGCGGGTCAATAGTAAAAGGAAGTAGACAAACTGTGGGTTTTGCAATGAATCTGTGGCATTGGTGGATGTAATTTAAACACTTGTTTGTTTGTTTTTTTTAATTTTTCCCCCTTTTGCTGAAGAATAAACACATAATGAGAGAAAACAAGGCTCCTAAGGGATTACATGTCTCAATATGCTTTATGTCTGTGTTAAACTCAGTGCTGTGCTTTCCAGCCTCACTTAGGAGGAGTATTTGCTCACACTCAAACTATGAACCCAAAAGCCGCTCTTTAAGGTTTCTGTGTGTGGTTTTCATGTTGGCCCTCCTGTCATTCTTCTGCTCTCTGCATGTAAAGACCAAGCTCTTTTTGTATAAGAAGACAGTCAGTAGGGATTTCATCAGGAACATGAGTACCCTGTGCTTTAACCCAGCTAGTGTTTAATGATTTGCCATTTAATGCAGTTCATCTTCCATAGTCCTGAGTTCAAACAGAAGCAGCTGCTATTAGGTATGCAATACTATTGAACTTCCCACCAATGACCTATGAGAGCGTCTTTCTTAGCTTTAGCTACTGAACCCACCTGGCCTTTCCCCTATGCCTGACAATAGCGGGAGAGGAGCTGTTTACTTCCCATCCAGGCAGTCTGGGACAGAATGTATAATTATGCTAGCAAAAGATCTTCAAATCAAAATTTCTTGTGTTAGCAGCGGTCTGCAGCTCTGGAGGACAAAACAATACGCTTTAGCTCATTATCAAAAGAACAGTGAGAAAGCTCAGGAAACATGGAAAACTCCTGCTGAGCTGAAATCAATTCAAAGGGTAGAGGTGTCCCTAGCTGCAATCTGCAAGAGAAACTTATTTTCTTATAACTATTTGCTTTCTTCAGTGTGAAAGTGTAGGCATTTTAAAAGTTTCTCTTCTCATAGTTTTAGAAGACAGCTAGACAGACACAACTAGAGAGATGAAAAAAAATTATCTATAAAAAGTCGACTTTCAAAAGCCTAAAGCAGGGCTAGGATGTGGCTTTTCTATCATACAGAAAGCCCTGGGTTAAGTCCGCTAGCACTGCTTAAATCTGGTATGTGGTGCATACATATAATCCCAGCACTCAGAAAACAGAGGCAGGAGGATCAAATCTTTAAGGTTGTCCTTGGCTATATTATAGCCACTTTGAAGCCAGCTTGGGCCACATGAGACCCTGGCTTAAAAACTATCAACATCATCCTCGATAGATTAATTACTGAAATGAGCTAATGGGAAGATGAAACTATATTATATAAATACAAGTTTATTAGAAACAGTGGGGGGGGGGAGAAAGAGGGGAGAAGCCCGAAAAGAGAAAGAGGGGAGAAGAGGAGAGACACAAAAAGAAAGAGGGGGGGGGGGGGGGGGATGAGGAGAGAGGCAGAGGGAAGGGGAAGAGAGAAAAATGAAAGAGAAAGGGTAAATGAGCAAAAGGGCTGTAGGGGACTAATAATCATTACAATACACACACACAATGAACACATACCAGTACTAAAGTACAAGATATGTAAAGAGACTGAAGTTTTTGGAGGGAGAAATGGGATATTTATTATGTTAACAAATAAGATGCATGTTCTACATCTGAATTTAATGCTTTTAGAATCACTGTCAAGTTGTTAAAAAAATGAGTACAGGCTATGCCTCTTTCCTCATAAATACTTTTTAACCTTGTAACATTTGTAAATTAGGATTTACAGGAATATCAAAACAATTATGAATTTTTACTGTAATTATAAGGCTTCCAGACAATTATTACTTAGTTATGGTGGTGTCTGATCCCTTGGCTGAACACAGTGGGCCAAAAGCAGCTTTCTTTTCTGGCAATAGATTCCTAAAAGATGTAGGAGAACGTTCGACTAGATGTTTTCACTGTGGACTGTGTACTTGAAGGTCTAGTCTAAGAGTAAATGGCCCTTCTTCCTGTTGATTCGTCTTTTGTTCTTAAAACAAGGTTTTTAAAATTTATTATGTTATTTTAAAGATTAACTTTGTTAATAATTTTTAAAAAGTTGTATTTACTTCTATGCATATTAGAAGATGCTGGGGTAATGATGCTACTTTATTTATCTCTTTTTAGTACTGGGGTTTGAACAGAGTAGCCCATGCAGGTACCTCTTGGAAGTACAAGCCCAGGGATATCTGTATTTTTATGTTGAGACAGAGTTCCAGCAAATTGTTGAATGTGGCCTCAAATTCACTCAGTGGCCAGAGAAGGCCTTGAATTTGTGAGCCTCTGGCTTCTCAGGTCTTTGCTATCGGAACACCTCTAAGGACATTTTCTAAAGTTTGATGATGTTTAGTAGTTTAGCCTCGCAATTTTGGCAAAGATGTAGATAATTCCTACAATGTTTTTGATTATCAGTTATAATATGTAAAAAGGAAAGCCTTTCTTCATGAGATGATTGCATGAAGAAGCGTCTGAAGCATGTGTATATCGAGCTCTGTTGCACAGACTTGTATTCTCAGTGCGCAGGAGGTGGGGACAGGTGAACTGGGCGTTCTAGGTCATCCTTGCCTAGGTTGTGAGCTTCAGGCCAGTTTAGGCTACATGAGAACCTGTCTCATGAAAACAAAATCAGCTGAGACCAAACAGTTGTCCTCTGACTTAACAATGTACTGTGTCTGAGCAACTGACAGGAAGCCATTGGGCCCATTTATTATGTTCAGTTTTCCTGCCTGCCTGGCCACAGTGACAGGGCATGTGTGCCTGGACCATCAGCTTTGTCACTTCGTGGAAAGAAGCCTTCTAAGCACTTATTTATCTGTAGCAGCTCGAGATTTTCATGTGAACAAATGAATGTGTTGGAATGGAGAACTGAGCCTGAATGATCATGATTCCATTAGAAAAAAAGAAAAAAGAAAACCCATGATCAAAGTGTACATTCCATTTTAACACACACGTGTCCATGTGAGTTGCTGCAAATTGTAGATCAAGTGTTCTTGCATCAAGCTCAACCTGTTGGAAAATTTGATTTGGGAATCTTCCCCACACTCTTTAAGTCTAAATACTGACAGGTATTTTATATGCTTTTTTTTTTTATTCCCCTGTTTTCTCAGTTCCAAGATTTATAGGAGCCCTAATGTAAAGCATGGCAGAAATGCCACTGCAGAGACAGCAGGGGTTTCCCCCACAAAGTTTTATTATAATTGTTTCCAGGCCCAAGGGCAAATTATTATGGGTAAGTAGATATTTAAAAATAATGCTTGCATTCTTTTTCCTTTTAGAACTTTGAAAATAAATTCTGTTGCCTGGGTTTGTTTCGAAGATGGCAGATGTCCTGGTTTGTTTTCTTCTGATCAGCTTTAGCAAATGTATTTGGTACTTATTAGAGGCCATCTTTTCACAAACAGCCAGAAGGAAACTCAGTCTCTCCTTAGCTGCTTCACTTGATGGGTGTGGCACAGCACTCAGTGAAAGTGCACATTTCACAATCACCGTGAGCCGTGTCCACAGGACCCTCTCAAGGTACGTTCCTGTTCTGTGGCAGGAAATGAAAACCAAAATAGAAATGGCCTTGCCTTGGGAAGGAGGTCGACAGACAGGTCTGTCCCTGGCAGAGAGTGGGGATTAGGGGTTCATGGCAACTGAACTTTTCCATGTGGTTATTGGACTAGTGACTTTCTAAATAACCCATTGCAGGGTAGCAATAGTAAAGGTAGAAAAGACTGAAAACCGGCAAACTCTTTAAAGAAACGACTTGGCAGCATTGGAAACAAGGAAACCATGTATGAGTAACCAAGGAACACTTCCATGGGAAGCAGTGAGTCTAATAAAACTCAAGCCATGTTACAGCTTTCCTCCACGCCCTGACTGAAAGCTGAGGTGTCCCTCCTTGTCTCTCATGATAGCTGTGCCGAACAGCGTGTACAATACATGTTAACAAGAGAAAGAGTTAATGTCGCCTTCCCTTTTCTCTCTTCCCCCTTCCCCCCAACCCTTCCCCCTCCCTTCCCCCTGCTGGTGCCAGGGTCTTCCTGTGTTGCTCTGGCAGACTGTATACCTGCTATGCAGCCCAGCCCAGCTTCACACTCCCAGTAACATACTTGTGACAGTCTCTGGAGTGCTGCGATCACAGATATGAGCCGCCATGTCCCGTCACAAAAATGTATCTCACTGGTTTCAT